GCATCATAGCTGGCGTCATTAGCTCGCTCATAAATTTCTTCTCGAGAATGTTTCTTGGTATATTCTCTGCGCAATTCTTAGTGCTTCATCCTCATACTCTCTTTTGTCTATCTTTCGATGTGTAGCTAATATTTTAATTTCATGTGTATTATTTATTTTTAAGTATTCTTTCATCATTTCATTCTGATTCGGTCTTTGATTTTTTTTTCTAAATGTCTATAAATTAATGTTATTGAATGTGTCGTTATATTTGTTGAAAATTTTTCTTTCTGATTTGGTTTAAATTTGGTTAATTAAATGGCTATTACATGCACGTAATATATGTAGATATGATATACATGCCACGACGCTCCAATTAATAAAAGCACTGCAGTGCCTTTTATTTCATTTCAAAATCTTGTGCATCCCTTCGTGATTAAATATTTGAGAACACTGATTCAAATATCGGAAATTTGGTTAACAAATTGACTACTAGTTCTCCCAAAAGCAGATACTTGAATTAACAGACTAATTAAAGTTTAATCATGCTAATTAAATTTAAACATAATTAACATAAAAAATCAAGTTTGAAGTTAGAAATTGAGGCTTAACTTACATCCATGATTAATTAGGAGAACTTGACCAGCGTTAATCTCATAGAATCAGGGTTTTAGTTGACTTAATTATCCCAGTGTCTAGTTAATTAAGAACTTTAAACATTAATTTTTGGATAAACGCCAGGCTGTTGTTATAAAGTCACCTAGCCTATTTTGTAATCGTATTATTTATATTGTTAAAGGTGAAAACTGCTCCTGAATGCTACCTAGAGTTTCCGGTGAGTTCCGTCTTCTAATTTACTTGATAAAGTTTACCCCTCGCTGAGTGATCTCGTTTTTTTCTTCTTCAGTGCCCTTCATCCCTTAGTAAACATCCTATAACCGCCTTTTCTCTGTTCAAGCAATCCATGATTGTACCCTTTTCCCTAAAATTTTGGTAACCTCCCTACTCCCTAGGTTTTAGCTGGTTGTAGTAGTGCTAAAGCATTAAAAAAAACAGGCAGACGCTTGTAGTTGCTAACGCATTTGATTTTTATGAAGGTTAGGATGCCCGTAGCATTAGTGTTAACGATTTCTCATTCTCGACTTGATTAAATTCAAACCAACATTACTTTTAATGAAGGGAAGTTAAATTTACCAAATATTTTTTACATGTGATAAATAATTCTATGCTAAGTGCTTGGAGATTTGTATCAGTATTTTCTTACGGAAGAGTTTACATTTATATTATGAAGCTTTGATGTATTTATAGTTCCAAGAAAAATTAAATGGGAAAGCATGCTAATTTGTTTGCTTTTCTGCAATATAAAAAAAAACACTTTTTCCTTGATGCATCATTCTGCCATTGAAAATGAAGCTACACATAATTTTGAGTAGAGTTTGTCTACTTCATTCTCTGATTGATAGTGTTCCCGGTAATTTACCAAAGAGGAACATCCATCTTTTCAAGGCTTACATCCAGGTGCTTTTGCATTAGAAATCAGTGTATTTATTCAGTTGTATATTTTAAGGAATAAAAGGCTTGTTTATAAAGATCAAGGACGCCTTTCTCACTTTTTGTTCTCCGAAGTTGAGAAAGATTTCCTTTGATGCTTAGCAACTGAAATAAAAATGAGTGACTCATTATGCTGAATTTAAAAGTCTGATCACAGCCTATAATTTTGGAAAGCACATGCTTAAGATATACTTTATTATTCCATTGTTTTAATACCACATTTTTCTTGCTTGGATTTGTCCGGTGGGGATTGATGAAGGGGATTTATCGTTAGTTTGTTAGATGTAAATTTTTGGGCCATCATTCATCATGTAGCATCCTTGTTGGAATCCATTTTGATACTTATGCTGAGGTGGATCCTTTTAAACAACCTCCCTTCCCCTTTCTCTTTTCTCCAGTCCTTCCATGCCTTGGATGGAAGTTTTGAATTCTTTCCACTTTTTCCCCTGTTAACTGATCCTTTGTAATTTTCTTCTCCACCACCACCAACAACAATAATAATAGGCCTTTATCCCATTACGTGGGTTGGCTATATGAATCTTTTTTGTCTATTGTGTCATATTAAAAGTCAAATTATCAATTAATTATAATAAAAAAAAAGATAATTTTTAATACTTTCTAATAAACTCTTCTTAGGTCTACCTCTACCTTTCTTAACATTGATAGGGATCTAATGCATCTACTCGCCGAATAGGACCATCGGAAGGTCGATGTTTTATGTGACCTAACCATCTAAGGCAACTCTCTCTAATATTTTTGCCACTAGAGCTACTCCAACCTTTTCACATATATACTCGTTTCTCATGTTGTCTCTACGTGTAAAGCCACTCATCCACTCGAGCATCCTCATCTCTTCAACATTTAACTTAATTTTATGCTTCTCTTTTAACGACCAACATTATGTGTCATAAAGTATTGCAAGTATCACCACTATCTTATAAAATTTTCCCTTAAGTTTGAGTGGTACTTTTCTTTTACACAACAAGCCAGAAGCATTCCTCCACTTTAATCATTCAACTTGAATTCTAATAGTAATACCGTATCTATTTCACCATCGCTTTGAATAATAGATCCTATGTATCTAAACCATGCACTCTTTTTAATGACTTGATCATCCAATATCACAATCCCACCACTAGATTTATTACTATTAAAATTGCATTCTATATATTTGATTTTAGATCTACTCAAACAAAACTCTTAGACTCTATGATTTTCATCATCTCTCTCTCCTATATGATCAACAAGAAGAATATCGTCAGCAAAAAGCATACACCATAATACATCTACATGCAAATGTTTAGTAAGGACATCGATCATCCATGACTAAAACCAAAAGATATGGGTCTAAATGCGATCCTTGATATAATCCAATTCAAATAGGTAAGTACTTGGTAAAATCACCTTGTGTTTGAAAGGAAGTAACAACTCATATATACAATCCTTAATGACTTGGATATAAGCCTTATTAACTCCTTTCTTTTCTAGAACTTTCTAGAGCACTTCTCTTGGAACTTTATGATATGATCTCTTTAAATCAATAAATATCACATGTAGATCCTCTTTTCTCAATATTTCTCCATCAAACTCAACAAATATATACCTTCCATAGTTGACCTACCCAACATGAATCGAAACTGATTTTTGTGAAACATTAGGAGTGTATACATAAAATCAATTCACAGATATTAGAATTTTTCAATCATGGCTCCAGATGGATGGCCTATTGAGTGCGTTTCATGCAATATTCCTACCTTCTAATACAAGTCTGTTGGTCTTGTTTGGTTTCTTTGACTAGTCATTTGTATTCCATCATATGGTGACCCAACTTCAACATTTTGTCTGGGACGTTATTGTAAGATGTCCTAGTGCTTTGCTGCTTTATCCAGCATTTTAGTTGTTAATTGTTGCTAATTCCTTATTTCAATCTACAATTCTAGTTGATGCAATTGGACTGGTGTGAATGCCCTCACACTTAGTTTGCTTTGGAATTACTTGAGGTGACTATCAGGATAATAGTGATCATTAACATCAGTCTAATTTCAATCTTGCAAGGGCAGCTTAATGAGTGTATCTTTGTTCTTCATTTGCTTTATGATATACTATCTTGCATGGCACTTGTTCAGTTGAATCCTAACCTTTCTAACATTTACATAATAGGACAATATTTTTTTAGTAGTTCTGAGGCCTAAGTCGTTCACTAGAATGACAAGAAAAGCCTTATTGTGTCACTTCAATTTTCTCAACTGTGTTTGTTTGATTTCCCTTGCACATACATTATGTCCATCTATTTATGTAGCTCAGTTAATGAAATTTTAAGGCTTTGTTCATTATATCCATAGATTATGCTTAAAACTTAGTTCTAAACAGACGTCGGGTGAAATACAATAGGCCCTATGGAAGGTGAAGACTCCTAAGCGTATACAACCAGGAAATAGATTGACCACGAGCATACCCACAACAATACGTGAGAGTGAGGTTGGAACCCAAAGGAGCATCACTCTGTCCCTTTAGGGTCTATAGAACCTATAATAGGACCCAATCATATGAGGGTGACAATGCTCATAAAGGAGAGTCAAATTTTCTCCCGTTTTTCTGTCTCTATGTTTTGGAAAGAGAGGCCAGGGCTCAAATTCTGAAAATGCATTCTCGCTCTAAATGTCATCAACAAATCCTCTTTTGACTAACTGATTAGTCATCCAGAATATAAATTAGTAGATCGAGATGCTATCATCAGGAAGGATTGTGCTGTCAAAGGGCAATGACATGCTTGTTAAATACGCTGCAATGTTAGCTTCTCTTTTGTGTGATGACGTTGGATCTTCGGAGTGATGTTATGGCGAGTGAGAGATTGTGTTACCCCTTGCATTCTTCTACACCTACTTAGCATAATAAGAAATAACAAAACTGAGCTAAATGAGTCCGTCACAAAGTTGGGGTGTGGCGCACGTTTTGGTGAAGTGTAGGTTTTGCAATCAAAATGTCGGGGGTAATGTATTATGATGCTCCTAAATGTGAAAGTGAAAAATATAACTGATGAAAGTATATATCTATAAGACCATTTACAGAACTTGCCAGCTTGAACTGGAAAACACTTCCATCAGGGAACTTGAAGATGGCTCTAAAGTAAGGATATTCAGTAACCAATATGTGGATAAAGTTTAGTATACGACCACACAATATTTCCTGGATAGAGCGAATGAAAAAGATTAAAGGATAATGGTGGAATGGTAAATAAGAAGATCATTCGGATCACCATTCCTGATGATGGCGAAAGACCTTTCAGGAAAGCATTAGACAGAGCTAAAAGAAAACAGCCCTTTAATGAAAAAAAAAATGATCTCTTGGATTGAGTACTTCCTCATTCTCATGATCCATGTTTTTACAACATTGATTCTGCTTGTAATCTATATACCATAATGTATCGTTATGATTTTGACCTCATCTCATCATGCATACAAATCTTACAGAGACTATGGAACTTCTCAACTGGAAAATTTTTAAAAACGTATACGGGGCATGAGAATTCGAAGTTCTGCATTCCAGCAACTTTTTCAGTCACTAATGGCAAGTATATTGTCAGTGGTTCAGAGGACAACTGCCTCTACCTATGGGAACTACAAACAAGAAAGGTTGTCCAGAAACTGGAAGGGCACACTGATACCGTCATTGCCGTTTCTTGCCACCCATCCAAAAACATGATTGCCTCTGGTGCTCTGTCAAATGATCGGACGGTGAAGGTATGGGTTCAGGACGATTAATTGTAGGCTTAGTCATTTTATGGATCAGTCATGTATGAAATCTATTGACCAGTCCAGATTGTTTATTTTGTGGCCTTATGCTGATGCTGCTTGCCTTGTTTTTAGCTGGAAGTAGAATGGTCCAGCTGCCCTTGCTAGTTTAGCATTATTGTAGATGTACGTTAATTTGCACAACTATTGTAGATTTATTTTAAATGCAGCAAAAGAAGCTTTCTACAATTGAATTGTATTGTCCTGTTGATTGTCATTTGATTCTTCTTCACGGGAGATGTTTTTCTACATTGTCTATTAGCTGGAGAATTAATCAGCATGTGTTGTTTGCTTTGTGATTT